TATGGGCTAATTTTCATTCTTTGGGTGAACTGACCCTTTAAATAAGCATCAAATTAAATACACAAATTACATACAATTAAATAGTCTACAGTCCATGGCCCTGCAGAACTGTTATGATTAAACATTAAAAAAGTATAGCTGCAATTTCAAATAAAAACTGATTATTAAATTAGATAATGAATTTCATTAATGATTAGTTGGGTCTGTGTGCTGTGCACAAAGAGTTTTTGTTGAGCTCACTTTACAGTAAGAAAACATTGTTTTTGATTAGAAGGCAGCAGCATATATGTAGAGCAAGTGACTTTAAAAGCAACTCTGAAACCGTCTTTCTTGTATCAGATATAAGTTCTAAACCCAAAATCATGTTTTACTGATCACAGTTTGACTTTTCTCCAGAGTGAATTCGTAGATGATGATCTTTGACGCTCTCTGCCCGTGTGAAACTCTTTCCACACTCGTGGCAGGTGAAAGGTTTCTCTCCGGTGTGAACTCTCATGTGCACATTAAGGATTCCTTTATGTGCAAAACTCTTCCCACACTGAGTGCATGTGTACGGTTTTTCTCCAGTGTGAACTTTTAGGTGATCCTTAAGGTAATGTTTACCAATGAAACTCTTCTCACACTGAGGGCACGTGAACGGCTTCTCTCCAGTGTGAGTTCTCATGTGAATATTAAGTCTTCCTTGGCGTGTGAAACTCTTTCCACACTCATGGCACGAATAAGGTTTCTCTCCGGTGTGAGATCTCATGTGGGTGTCAAGGTGTCCTCTTTGTGAGAAAATCCTCCCACACTCAGTGCATGTGTACGGTTTCTCTCCAGTATGAATTTTCAGGTGATTCTTAAGATATAGTTTAATACTGAAACTCTTTCCACATTGAGGGCACAGGAAAGGCTTCTCTCCAGTATGGACTCTCATGTGCACATTAAGGCTTCCTTGACGTGTGAAACTCTTTCCACACTCATGGCAGGCAAAAGGTTTCTCTCCGGTGTGAACATTCATATGCATTTCAAGCTGTTCTCTTTGTGAAAAACTCCTCCCACACTGAGGGCATTTGTATGGTTTTTGACCTTCCTGAACTAAACTCGTTCCACATTCATGGCCTGTGAAAGACGTTTCTTCACTTGAAACATTATGAGGTTTCTGATGCTGATGCATCTCCTCCACTTTACTCAGCATTTCACTTTCCTCTTTTAAGTCTAAAAATAAACACAGTACATAGTCAAAAATCAATTATATTGTGACAAACGTAAAGCAAAAAAGAAATGGAAGGGAACAAATTTGAGCTTTTTGCAGAAAACAAGACCTTTAAAGAAGTATCTACTTTACATGCTTAGAGTAAAATATGTTGTGTTTATACAATTCGTTAATTAGTCTCCTCCACGTCACCCTATAGCTCCATTTTGGAGAGTATCACATACGTAAACATACATTGCATATGTTGTTTACGTATGTGATACTCTCCAAAATGGTGCTATAGGGTGACGCGGACGAGACTAATTGTTGAATAAAGTCGTTATTTTTGTTTTCTTTGTGCACAACAAGTATTCTCGTAGCTTCGTAAAATTATGGTTGAACCACTGATGTCACATGGATTATTTTAATGATCTCCTTGCTACGTTTCTGAGCCTTGATCGTGTAAGGATCCTTGCTGTCTATGGGAGGGTCAGAGAGCTCTCGGAATGCATCAAAAATATCTTAAATTGTGTTCCGAAGATGAACAGAGGTCTTACGGGTTTAGAACGACATGAGGGTGGAGTAATTAATGACAGAATTTTCATTTTTGGGTGAACTATCCGTTTAAGTAGCAGATTTTGACGCTGTAAGTAAATTAACCGTCAAGTTATAACAGTTATGAAAAACATACTTCTCTTGGATTTAACTGTAGCATAAGCTACATTCATACATTTATATTTGTATTTATAGCCTTCAATTTGCACATTGTTGAGGAACAACATTAGACTGGATGAGAAATGAAGTTTTCCCCCAAAATACAAGCAAGAAATAAATGGCATATAATAAAACTAGTAGGGCTGCGCAATTAATCGAATTTCTAATCGCGATTACAATTTGGATGCCACAATTACGTAATCGTTCAAAGTCCACTTATGTTATTCTGCGTGCTTAAGATGCGTTTTTTTCTTTCTACATGTTATCTTAAGGGTTTTTCCATTGTTTTAATTTTAGTATAACATTATAATACAATTTATATATTTACATATTATTTATTTTACATATTATTATATTTTTTATAATTTAAAGAAGAAACCAATCCAATGTATATTTGACATTTTAGGCTTAATACTATGGAAAAGCACAAAGTTTTTCAGTTAGTGTTTTCAGCTTGTTTATTTTCATATAAAAATACGGCATGCAGTTGCATCAAACAATGGTATAAACATCATTCAATGTAAATTGTGATAATTGTAATTAACAATCGCAATTACAATTTAAAGGGAATAATCGACAATTATGATTTTTGTCATAATCGTGCAGCCCTAAAAACTAGCATTAATTACAGCCCTTAATAATTAATATATCATGGTTAAAAGCCAGACTTTTGCACACAGATAACAAACAACAATAAAAAAAGATGACTTTGAAACCATCTTTCTTGTAACAGGTATTGACAAGGCAGACAAATATACACAAAATTAAAAGAAGGAAATGACCTGATGGGATAAAAACATCGTCATCATCATCGCTCTGTTCTTCATCAGCTGTGGTTTCTCTTTTCATCTTCGTTAGGTTCCTGCAGTACTCCAGCTTCACTGAGCACGTCTTAAGTGGTGTCTGCTCTTCTTCAGCATTACAGTCTGAACCCAAAGACTCTGTGGAGATTTGATTGGTGGATTCATGACTGTCACACACACTCTCTTGAGTGTCAGTGTAACAAAGTAAACTGAGGCTGATCTCTGAGTCCTGTGTGTTTCTGGATCTCTGTTCAGAGAACTGATCTCTGATGCTCCAGACTGAATCTGTCCCATCAGTCACACCCACTGAAACCTTTTCCATCGCCTAAGAAACAAAGAATCACAGTGGCAATACATTTATATAACGACTGCCGCTCATATTAAGATAAATAACAACTGCTGGCAAACTGGATGTACAAAAAGCAATAAACATTTTTTTTTTTTTGGAGCCATGTTGGGTCATTATGTCTGACAGGAATGCTTGAAGCTTCTACTAGCCCTTACAATACTTTCTTAGCAAATACTGATACATATAAGCATTGCGGTCTCAATCTGCAACAAAACTTAGCTGTGCATGTGCCAATGTTTAATCTTAAGGACATTTATGTTCATTTTTATTTATTGAACAAGTTTGGTGGTTTACACTGGGTATAAACAGATCTTGAAGCAAAATCGGTTGAAAACGATTTGAGAATGGAATCAATGGATCAATTTAAGAAGTTCAGCGGAAAGAAAGGAAAAATCTGGAAAGACAAGCACGCACAATCATTCAGGATTAAGTGAATCTTTATTAATGTAACGTTACAAACCTCTCTGCTCAGTTTTTTGTCTCTCTCCATCAGCTTTACTTCCAGTGACGCCTCCCTTTACTTCAGCTGACAGAATTACCTAATGAAACCATCAATATCCAGCATGGACAGATATATTATATCCTTCATTTACCACTTTTACATTTTAAACATGCTATTTTCAAATTTCTGCTGGTTTCTTCGGAAACTGAGCACTGTCTGAACTGTAAAAAAAAAAAAAAATGTCAGCTGCTGCTGCTTCGTTTCGTTTACAGGGGAGCTTAAACTACAACATCGGACATTACTGCCACCTATTGGGAGTATGGTCCGCAATCACAGCACCCTTCATCTCTGGAATAACGTTCGAAGCACTGCAGCGTTGGAAAACCTTTGTGAATCATTTGTTTCGAGCCAGAGGTTCGGAGCGCGTTTCAAATGGCCAAAGTCACGTGATTTCATTCACCGCGGTGTGTCTTTTACCTGATCTCGGATTGGTTTTATACATTTGTGTACATTTTTAATGAAGCATAAAAGAAAGAGTAGTCTGTGATTGGCCCGTTTACACAAGCTCCACATGAAGTAAACAAAGCCCTGTAAAGTACCCCTGCAAATTAATAAAAGACCACATATTATCCCGGACAGCACACGTACGTCTGGCCGACGTCGGCCCAAGAGTGAAACGTCGGCCTCATTATCTAAAACATCTAATAAGCGTCGGCCAGGCATAGGCCGATATAATTCGGTCAGTGCTCTGTTTCTCAGCTCATCAAGCGTCGGCTCTGAGTCGGCTCACGACCGGAGGCCGATGCCGCGCTTTTCTGTTTGCTGGAGCAGTTATTCGTCTCTTATATAGCAACCTACAGAGAGAAGAGACTCATCCCTCGACATCTGGGGCTTTCAGGTAAGATTTCACTTGAGCTAAATTAGAACAAAAATACCATTTTGTTAATTCTGTGACACTTCAAAGGTAACGTTACTAGTAGGCACTCGGTGTGCTACAGCAGGTGAAGAGACTGGGGTTCATTTCCAACTAACGTTAACTTGTTTAGCTAACGGTCACGGTAACTTAGCGATTTTTAATATTATTATTAGCGCCTTAATGTATTTCCAGCCATTTCTCGGAGGGAACATGTTATTAAAGCGAAGTCCTAACTGCTTTTCCGCCGTGTTTTTCATTGAATTGAGATTGTAATCATAATTTAAGTTTATGAACCAAATCATGAAAAGATGTTCCCTAATAAAAACACAATTAAATTATTCAATTACCAAAAGTTGGCAGCCCTGTTAAATAATTAAAATAATTTATTTACTTGATGTTGTTTATATCAACATTAAAATGTAAAAGTATGCATTTGTTTGAATAATGTGATATTATAAACTCATTTATTGTTTTTTATTTAAGGCATTTATGCAGCAGCAAAAGAGGCATTCTCTGCTCTTAGGACCACAGTGCAAAAATTGGCTGAACAAAACTGTAGCCATGGGGGCAGATGGGGCAGCTGTAAATCTTGGACACAAGCGGGGGGGTAATATCCCTTGTCCAGGCAGAGGCAGGGAACTACATTGTTCCTTTCCATTGTATGCCTCACAGGTACGTAAACATGAAGCTAACTATCAGTCCTATACATTTCTTGGGTAGCCTTTTCTGATTACACTTTTCTGTGTAGGCTTGATCTGGCTCTGTTGTCAGTGCAAAAGGAAAACCCAATGATTGGGAAAGTTTACAACCTCCTCAATATGGTTTGGAAAACATACCATTTCAGCAGCAAATCCATGAGGGAGCTGAGGGTCCTTGGGGAAGACCTAGGCATAAGAGTGAATTCCCCAAGTGGAGTAAAAGGAACGCGCTGGCTACCACATGTGTCTAGATCTTTGGAGACACTGTTAAAACTGGAGAGAGAGGAGGTTATCTTCAGGACCCAGGACAGTTTACTGCAGTCTATGTGCACATGGACCACTTGGCCAGTGCATCAGCAAACACAGACATTGCTGGAAGGGCCAAAAAGGTAACTACAGTATTTGTTGAAATGTAATTATTTTTATTTATTGTTGTTTATCATTATTGAGTGCAATTTAACTTTTGGTTAAGCAAGTTTTCTCTTTGGTGCTGTATTTCAGATCAAGAAGACTATGGAGGATGGAACTTTTGTAGCCTTCATTCAAGTCATTCTACCCCAGGTAATACTATGTGTGATACAAATTATAACTTAAAATTAAAACAATCAAAAAACCACCATATTAATAACCTGACCCAACAGGCTGTCAGTGGGGTTCAAAACCTCATTGTGAACATTGAAACAATGGCAGTGAGACCCAAACCAGGAGGAAGACTCCAGCAACTTGTAACAGACATGCAGCAGCAAGGAATGGCACACACAGAATGAAGTACCATTCTACAAGTTTCAGGTAGTTATCCCATTTATTTTAATGTAACATATGCTAATAATAATAAACAATAAGTGTTGTTGTTTGATTACATAATCAGTGTAAATTAATATTATAATTTCAGGATGTCCCACTTTCGTATTGTGAAGCCACAGTGCTGGCAGAAAATGAGAGCATCTACATCAAATCTCCACAACTGCATCAGGGAGTAAAAGATACTGTGAATTCCACCATTAAGCACCTTCAAAACAGATTTGGTAGCCTTTTAGGTAATAAGATTTTCTTTATTGGACATTCTGCAGTATCAAAAGTATTAAAATTATTATCATTATTAATTTTTTTTATTGTTTGTGCTGACAGGCACAGTGGGAAGCATG